CCAGAGAAGCTGTGGCTGCCCCATCCCTGGCAGTGTTGAAGGGCAGGTTGGATGGGGCTTGGAGAAGCCTGGGCTGCTGGGAGGTGTCCCTGCCCATGCAGGGGGTTGCAATTAGATGATCTTTAAGGTCCCTTCCAAACCATTCTGTAATTAAAATCTGTGTCTAAGTTTTGTCCCTTTGTTTTCACTATTTTCATTCATTCTGGTTACGTTTTGAACTTATTGATGCTGCTTGTAGGATTCATCATTTTTCCATGCCACATTCCCATAACGTGGCTCTGGAAGGGAGCAAACCAACCTTCATCATCCCCCTGTGGGCTCTTCTCCTCAGCTAAGGGAGGCCACAACCATGTGCTTGCCCTCACAGTTCAGAGGCCCAGGGTCAGGCTGTGAGCCACCCAGCCACAAGCTGAAGCTCTTCAAAGAGAAGATCAACCAAGAGCTGCCTGTACTGATCGTAGAATCACTGAATGGTTTGGGTTGGAAGGGACCTTTAAAGCTCATCTAGTCCAACTCCCTTGAAGGAGGAAAGACATCTTCAACTAGATCAGGCTGCACAACTGCACATCAGGAAACATCTTCCACCTTACCAGTTCAACTCCTGCCATTTTGTGCTTGATTTGGGGCAAGTAGCCCACCCAGCGGATGATTCCCGAAACTTGATTTCCTTTGTCCAAGGTGATCTGGACCATGGAATTCACCTCCAGAGGTGGATTCCCACCTTCACACTCCTCAGCACTCTCACTTATCTCTCGTTTCAGTTGGTTTGGGGGTCCCAAGCCCACGTCGGGCTCGAAGGATGAAAACAAACCTAGTGGGAAAGACAAAATGTCAGGTGAGGTGGGAAGTCACCACCTGATGATGGACACCTCTGGATCTCATCCCACACCAGGCTGGTTATGAAATTATAGACCACACAGACAAGCTGAGCACCAGGGACACAAGGTGTAATTCCCAGTGCTGTGGCCAAGCTGGTCTAACAGGCTTAAAGGGGATAATCCTGCTCCTTGTTTTCCTAGTCAAGGCTGCAGATTCCAGCCCTGAAGTTGATCCAGCCCTTCATGAAGCCATTTTGGACTCGTGAAATGGCAGCAGGGGGGTTATTTCCACCTTCTTGTTCTGCCTTTAGTGAGATGAATCAACTCACTGAGGAGTCAAACAATAGGCTGGCTGCTGCACCATGTCTTCTGATGGCAGGAGGGAGATACCACTCATTTCTTGTCTTGTCCAATAACTCACCTGTGGCATCCTTGCCTTCCTGAGCTTGTCTGGCATCAGGATGAGGCTCCTGCTCCACCTTTTACAGCTAAATTAAGGACTCTTTAACCTTCTCCTCTAGCAAATACTTCTGCAATCAAACTCGCTCCTCCTGACCAATGGGCAGACTCAGCTTTAGTTGCCTAATTAATTTTGTTCAGAACTTGAGACTTTTCCAAGGACCTTCTCTCCCTCTTGATCAACTAAGTTGGGACTAGCTGAAGCTTTTGTTGGGAATTCCAGCCCATCAGTGGCCTGTAGAGAAGAAATAAATGCTAAATCCCCAGGAACACAGGCAGAAGGCAGACACATCTGATGATAACCTACTTGGCAAGCTTTCCTTCACAACAGAGTCCATGGGGATTTCTCTGAAAATGTCAGTTGTTCCTTCTTCTTCCTGAAAGGAGAGCAAGAATCCATCAGCTAAACGCTTCATCAGACACAGGGCATTCCTGGAACACGGGCCAGGTTTTCAAACAAGCATGGAAACATTGCATGTAACCTCATGTCCCTCCCAGTTTCATGTCACACCCTTTTTATTTTTAAAATCCCACCCTCCTCAAACCCAAGAGAAGGCAACAAGATCCCTCTTACCGGACAAACTTTAACAAACCATTGGGTTCCCTCCCTGTAAACTGCCATGGCCACTCCTCTGGTGAGGACTTCATCCACGTAGAAACTAACTGCATCTCCCACTTTCACAGGAACCCCCTCTTCCATGTCCAGATTTCCCTTCTGTTTCACATCATCGTCATCAGTTATGGGAAGAAACAGGACTTTGTTAAAAGGCAGGAAGATCCCACAGTTCCTCTTGCACTTGAAATACTCGGTGCCGCGGTGGGATCCGTCGTTGCACCCCTTGTTTTCCCCCTCGCCCTGAAAACAGGTCAGAAAGGTGCTTTGAACACACAGAAACACCAAAGAAGCATCTTACTTTCTTCACAGGATTGTCTAGTCCAACCCCACTGCCAAGGCAGGATTGCCCAGAGCACATTACACAGGACTGCATCCAGGTGGGCCTGGGATGTCTCCAGAGAAGGAGACTCCACCACCCCCCTGGGCAGGCTGTTCCAGTGCCTGGTCACCCTCACAGTCAAGTTTTTCCTCCTGTTCAGATGGAACTTCCCATCTTCCAGTTTGTGCCCATTGCCCCTTGCCCTGTTGCTGGGCACTACTGAAAAGAGCCTGACTCCATCCTCCAGACACTCACCCTTTAGATATTTATAGACATTAATCAGGTCTCCTCTCAGCTTTCTCTTCTCCAGGCTAAACAGTCCCAGCTCTTTCAACCTCTCCTCATAAGAGAGATGCTCCAGTCCCCCAGTCATCTTTGTTGCCTTCCACTGGACTCTCTCCAGCAGTTCCCCTCCTTGTTGCCCTCCACTGGACTCTCTCCAGCAGTTCCCTTCCTTGTTGCCCTCCACTGGACTCTCTCCAGCAGTTCCCTTCCTTGTTGCCCTCCACTGGACTCTCTCC